CTCAAGTTCTGCTGGGAGCAAAATGTCATCGGCTGCTTCATCCCCCCGAGAGACAACCGATATCTATCAGGAAGACCCAGCAGCTTATTCAGACTCAGACAGTGATACCACCACCGATGATGAATACTACCTAGATGAGATAGATAAGGAATCGGAGCTATGAAGGGCCTGTGGTACTAAGATGGCACGATAGCTCGGTAGTTTCTGGGCAGGCAGAAACATGTAAAATACTTCGAGCCAGTTCTTGTGCTGCTATAAATTGGTACAACTTCATTAGTTTTAAAGAAGCTAGTATGTTATGTTAGCTGAGCATTTGACTTTTGTACTGAATATGGGCTTCACCATTGTTGTTTCTCCTAGCAGGGAAAAAGAATATTAAAAAAATTCCTTTCCCAAATAATAGAAGGTAAACAACTGTGAAGCTTTGGGCAGTGTAACTCCAGAGATGGCTTTCCTCTGAGTCAGCAAGCAGTGGCTTATGCTCCTGCCAGCTACGCAGTGCTGGAATGGATAAATTCTAGCTTGAGCTACATTTTCTTACAAGACTTAACAGAAAACCAAGAGGTTACTAAGCTGATAAATTTCTGTTTCTCCAATTTTCCTCATTTACCGGACCAAGCATGATAATGCCAATCCATCACACTCAACAAACACCCCTACAAAATGAAACCTCTTCAATTTTTACAGCATATTCTGTATGAACGGGTTTTTTTCTGCATTCCTGGGAAATGTAGCAGCAATGTCCCTGGTGCTGTTTGTTCTGCCATGCAGTTGAGGCAGATTCCACACAGGGAATTTTCTCAGCATTGCAAGAGCAATGAGCAATGTGAGTTACAGAGGTGCTGCTAGCGTGTGGGAAACAGCTCAGCAAACGGCAGAACACTGGAAAATTCACTGAAATTCCTGAGGATGTTAAGAAACACAGCTGAGCATGGAAATCTGCTTTTCAGACATGGGAGATTCGTAACCAGCACAGCTTTGGTTACAACTGAGACGAACAGCCGGATTTCTGCTTTGATTTAGGAACAGGTTAATTTGGATTAAAAATCCAACACTTTAAACCATGCAAAATATGAAAAGATTTACCCTATTTATTTCCTCTATAAGCCTCACAGGTTGAATCCTAAGTTGTCCTAATAGTGGGAAGACAACCATAACCAACACAGCTTGTTACACCCCAAAGTCCTCCCGCTGCCTCTGTGCTCGGCCGGTCTCTCCCGCAGCCGCTGGGCTCCCTCAGGGCAGCACCACCCGAAACGGCCCGAGAGGGCACGTGGCTGGGTCGCCACTGCGCCGCACAGACCGGCAGCTTTTCACATATGAAGTAAATAAAACCAGTAAGAAATGCTCTTTGCCTTTTGCTAAATTACCATCCCTTTTTGGTCTTTCTTAAACCATTCCCTCTCTCACCACAGTACTGTTTATCCTTCAAAGTGAGCAGTCAGCCACACTAATAATGTAGTATTATTACTCAGTAGCCAAAACTCATCCCTGGCCATCAAATTTCTAACTAAGCTTTGATCTCTTTTTCGTGCAAAATCAGAAGTGGCTCACTGAGCCAGAAGATAGTATTTTTAACTAATTATATATTTACTTTAATTTCACATATGGTCTAAAATGATCCATATTTTTGATACCCTTTTTAATTCAATAAAATTTCTGCAGGACATGATTATATTTTTATAACTGGAAGGACGTATACTGGTATTTTTAAATAATGTATTTTACACAAAACAAGCAACGCTTGTATCACTGACTACTCCACAAGAAACTAGAAGGTGAAAATACTATAGTAGGTAACTGGTATCCTTATTTTTTTATACTGTAAACTTCGTTAAAGAAGTGGGTCTGTAGTTCAGATCTGTACTGATACATAAGTATTATTACTTTATACTGGGGTAATTTGTCTTTTGTTGTACATAGAAGGACTAATATAAACTGTGTATTTATAGTCAGAATTAATCTCTATGACATGCCTGTTTTGGAAGGATATAAACCTATGCTGACATGTGCAATGCTGGAAGGAAATTACTACCATATAATTGCAGTCTTGTAAAATGTGGTATTCTAAGGAGAAACTGTTTTTCTGTAAATGGCTCTATTTTATACATACAGGATTCTGTAGAGTAAGACAATAAAACCAGCTGAGTATCAGTGAGGAATTTCTGCTGCTGTACGTTTCTGCAAAATATGTTAATCCAAAAATTGGGACTGCCAGCCTACATGAGGTAAAGAATAATAAAATAAATGTTTACAAGGGAAGTAAATGGTCATACGGTTTTCTTGACTGAAGTGGATGGTTTAGAACATTTTTATTTGTAAATATTTTCTACCTGTTCAACAGAAGTTGGATTAAGTTCTCACCTTGTTGGCATAATTTTTTTCATTTGCTATGCTATGTATGTGCAGGAGATCAGGTGGCTTGATTTAATGTAAGCAAGTAAAAACTGCTTTTGGTCATAAGTCAGTTGTGGAAGACTGCAGCCTGCTGAGGATCTGTAAACTAGTATTTACACTGAATAATGGAATTCTGTAAAACAGTTGATTGCTTGAAAACATAGGGAGAAATACCCTTTGAATAGCGATCAGCGCCGTTCAGTTTAGCAGAGCTAGATTTTGACACCTTTGTTCTTCCAAGCTTCTTCTTTGGCAAAAGTATATTCTATAAATGCTCGTGATTTATAGGATTTTCATATTTAAAATTATTTGTCTGAAATAAATTCTGCATTCAAATGAAAAAAAAAAAACAAAAAACAAAAAACGTATTTGTACTGTGTTTGTTTTCCACTTGCTGTGAATGCCATAGTTTATTTAAAAAAAAAAAAAAAAAAAAATCCAGCATCTTAGTATTGTTGCGAGGGTGGTGATGGCAAAGGGTGCCACAGATGCAACGTGGGGCCGCCAGCGCGGGTCCCTCAGGCAGCCGCAGGCTCGGGCCTGCCCCGCGCTGCGGCCACAGCTGCAGAGCCTCTGGTACACAAATAGTTTTCTGTCAGCAGTAGAATCTGTACAGCAGACGTGTTAATCCCTTAGCAGGTCGCATGCCTACAACTTGCCTTGAGGAGCCGATACTCCATGTAGGGGCCAAGGGTAGTATTTCATGAGTAGTTTTACAAGGTGAATTTACAATCACTTCAGCTGGAATTAGGGCTGAGAGGAGCCTGGCTGCCACGTGCAGTGTGACAGCGCGTGAGACTCACCACTTTCAGCCTTAATTGCTACAGCCAGTGCGTGTGGTACCTGAGCTCAGCAACGCAGTCCCTCAGCCTGGTTTCCGAAGGAAACATGGTTTATGAGCTAAGATGGTGTTTCTGTCTAGAACTCTGTCCACTCATTAGGTCACTCGTGTCCCCAGATGACTTTTCACTTTTCTAACATCTCAGTGACATTTGAAAGAAGGCACAGAAATCTCATGCTTTCATCTCAGGGCAGCTCAGGCCAGGAGGGACCTCAGGAGGTCTCTGCTCCAACCTCCTACTCACAGCAGGTTGGCTCTGAGGTCAGGCCAGGCTGCTCAGGGCTTCATCCAACTGGAGCTTGAAAGTCTCGTGAGGATGGAAACTGGGCAATCTGTGCCTCTGCCCAACTGTCCTAACGGGGGAAATATGTTACAGGCTGAGCCTGTTGGGAGTATCACAGATGGGATGTCAGTGGAGACCTGTGGCTATCTGAAGTGAGAGAATTTAGGAGACTAAAGACAAAAGCAAGGAGGAAACCCAGCTTGATAATTCCACTTTCAAGGAACCCGTTTTTCATGGTCTGTACGCAGAGAGACTTGAAGTTCATGTTATTCAAAAACATGCAGCATTCATTTGTGCTCTTATTGTTTTGCATGTGAAAATCCAGGCTTGCACAGACGCTTGATCTAACCCTCCTACAGCCTTGTAACCCCCCTCCCCCCCCCATCTACCGACACCCTGAAATATTTCCTAGTAGCACCAAACATTTCTGATAAAAATGACCCAACCACCTTAGGAGACAAATCATCAGAGGTTCTGCCTGCTTACTTGTAGTCCATCATTTTAAATCCATGAAATTACTTTGTTGTTACATTTTCTAGGTAATTGATACCACGATCCCTCCTTCCCCATCACCAAGCGTTACCGCATGGACGAGGGCCACCTGCAGCATCTCACCCCCAGGCCCCGCGAGCCTCCTGCAGCCCCTGAGCTCCAGGTGTGAGCTTGGCCTCCTCCCTGGAGCGAGAAGGTGAGCCCAGCATCAGGGAACAGCATGCTGGTACGTCAAACCACGACAGTCCCAACAGGGTGCCTGCTCTGTCCTTCACTGTGGGAAACTCTAGAAACAGCAAAGAATTTTAAATTAAGTATTCTATTTTTTTCTTTCACAGCAATCTCTGTCTGTATGTAAGCTGCTATAGGTTGTAAGAATTAATAAGCTTCAGAGAAATATTATTTTTGTCCTCTTTAAATTCCAGACCAGCTGTTCAGCTGCCCGCTGAGTTGCACCCTAAAACACAGGCATCGTGTTGTTTGTGAAGGAGGAAACACACGGATCAATCTGCTTTTCGGTCTGGGGTGCACAGCGCCCGTAGGCAAGGGCAGGAAAACCTCTTGGGACCTGAACACGCTGAGGCTCCGCGCAGCCCGCCAGCGGCTCCGCCGCTCACCCCCCGCTCGCACACCGCCTTTGCTGCGTTTCCCCCCGAAGTCGCACAGCCCCGGGACCCGGCTCGGCGCCCGGAGAAGGGGGCACCCCCGCTCCGCCGCCCCGCGGTCCCAGCCCAGCGGGAGGCCGGGGTCCGGGACACCCCCCCCCCCTCAGCTCCCAGGCGGGACGTCCTGTGCCCGCGTCCTGCGGCCGGTCCCGGGCCGAGGGGGGCGGCGGCGGAGGAGGGGAGGCCGCGCCGCATCCAGCCGCCCGGGGCCGGCCCGGCCCTGCTCCCCGGCGCTGCCCGGCCCCGGCCGCGGCCCCGGCGGGGCGGGGAGCGGGCGGCGGCCGCCGGCGCGGGGCCGCGCAGGCCCGGAGGAGGCCCCGGCCCCCCGCTCCGACCGGGCGCGGCCCGGGGCTCGGCGGGGCGATGGGGAACCGCGGGCTGAGGCCGCTGCCGCCGCTGCTGCTGCTGCTGCTGCTGGGCGCCGCGTTGCCGCCGCTGCGGGCGGTGGAGCCGGCGGAGCCCGTGAGCGCCGAGCGGAGCCTGGCGTGGGGCCCCGGGCTGGACGCGGGGCTCACCCTGCCCGTGCGGTATTTCTACATCCAGGCGGTCAGCGCGGCCGGACACAACTTCTCCCGCTCCCCGCCAGGTACCGTGCGTGTCTGTGCTCGCGGGTGGGCAGGGGCGCGGGACGGACACCCAGCCCCCGGCTGCGATGTCTTCGGAGGAGCTGGTCGGAGCTGCCCAACCCTTCCCCTTCCTCCCTTTCTCCCTTTTCCCCTTCCTCCCTCCCTTCCTTCCCTTCTTCCTTCTTTCCTTTCCTCCTTCCCTCGCCCTTCTCAGCACCCTGCCCGGCCCCGCATCGCCCGGGACACGCAGGTCCGGTGCTGAGCGGAGCACACGGTCAGACTCCTTTCCTCTGGCCCCGCCGGTGCCTCCCTCCACAGAGCAATGCGTGTGTCGCCCATCGCCTCCTCTGAACAGTATGTGATTTACTGCAAGGAACCAGCAAGCTCAAAATAAACCAGTGCTCCTGGAGCTAGTGGATGTAAAGAAATCCCAGTGCCCTGCTCAGAAGTGCTAACGTAATTATCTTTAATGCTACACGCACACCGGTTGCTTAAAATTTCTGTCTCGGTAAGCACGGCCCTCTGGGCCCCATTATCCTACTGCTGCTCCGTTAAGAAGGAGTAATTTTCATCTCTTGTTTACTCAGCACACTCACAAACTGTCCCGTGACACTTCTCCTGAGGGTGGGAATGGATTTTGTTCTCGCGGTCCAGCAGTGTGCTGCCAGTCAGCTGTTTTCTGCTGCAAGTTAATTCCACAAGCTGTGTACTAATAGTTTTAATTTAGAATAAAAATAACTTCTGCAGCACAGAGTTCGTAAGGAAGATAACCCTGAGATAGCTACTCAGTGGGAATCCTGTGTTGCTAATTCACTTCGGGTAGAGTTAGTTATTTTGCCCTGTATTCTTTAGTATTCATATAGATGGTACTGAGAGGATACCTACCAAGTATGCACAGCCTCTTCATGTCCTGTAGTTAGAAGGCGGCTGCTTGTGAAATTAAAGAGTGGACATATATTATAAAGGTTATGTCTTCAGTCTGACAGAACCCCAGATACTTAAGGTCTGGATTTTCTCCAGCTGCTGTTGCAACTTGGTGCTGGATTGCAGCGCAGTTTTGTGTTTGCACTGAAGAATGCAACTGCACACTCACTGCCAGCAAAGCGGAGGCTGATCTCAGCCACGCAGGGAGGAGCCTTGGGTTCAAACAACAGGTTGCTAAAGGTAAAAAGGTGCGAAGCTCTATTGGATTCTCACACTACTTGAAATCCTCCAAGCTAAGCTGGTAGGACATGGGTACCGAGAACCTAGTTTTGACCTCAGTGTGTTGTGTATGTTAGTATTTATATTAATAAACTCAGTGTCTTTGGAACGTTCCCAGGTCCTGATGCCATCTGGCATGGAGTGTCTCCATTCATACCATGACATTCTGGAGCCTCTGAACCACGGCAATGCGTGCGTGCTGCCGACGGGGAAGAGCTGTTGGCTCGGCCTGCACTAACTGCTGAGCCGTGCCAAGAATTATTTAGGACAGTGCCAAGGATCCCTTAACAATTTAGCAGTACAGTTGATCATATTCCAGTGCATGAGCACTGTTTAATGTACTCATATAGATACAGGCTATAAATTTCAGTTCTCATGATTTTAAATGTTCAGATTCTATATGTAAAATGTCAGTAAAAATTGCAATTAATAATATTTATTAAGGCACCGCTTTCCAATACAAACTAAATACATCTCAAAATATCCCTGCTGGGATGGCTCAATAAGTCTGCATTATCACCTCCATTGCACAAACAAGAATACTGTGGTCAGAGCAGGAGAGCTGTGGTTAAGGCTTCCCATTTGTAAGATCTGTCCAAATCTATTAAATGGTGTTTTGCGTGGATTAGAATTCCAGTCAAGTAGGTCAGTACTTACTGGTACCCAGTATGAAACTTATATAGGATAACTAGTAGATTTTAAATCCAGATGAGTCTTCTGACTGTCAAGTCTAATCACCAGAACTAATGTGCACCATTGCACATCACACAGTAGTTTTGACTGATGGGCTGTAACTCGACCTGTCTTTTTGGGAAGACATCAAATGATGCAGAATTCACTCTTTCCCTAGCAAGTGTATTCCAAAGATTAAAAAATCACTGCTGAAAATACAGAATTTACTTTTAATATAAACTGCTTAGATGTTTTCCTTTGGATCCTTGGCTTACCTTGTCCTTCTTTTCTGCTAGGTTTTCCCCTAGGTTTAACAACTGCCCACCATGTCTTTATGACAGAGTTGGCTGTTAACTGATCTCCAGTTGATCTATGTACTCTGCTAACAACTGTTTTCAAGGCCTCCCAGATATTCTCACAGGTTTTACCAAATGCTTTCTAAGAGAAGTGGCACACTTCTTCCAGCACTCATTCCAGTGTTGCTGAACAGAGTGCAGCTCACCTCCGTACCTGCAGCACTGCAGGACCTCCTTTCAGGGCTTTTGTGGACCGTGATGGCCGGGGTTTTGTGATGCTCACACACAAAACTTCCTGCCATGACCTGTATTTCTTGGTTCCTGGATATATGCCCTCACATCCGACTCCGTTAAAGTATATGCTATTCAAAGGAGCCCATTTTGCTAAGTGAACCTGTTTTGTCCAGCTGCTTCTTTATTGACTCTATTAATTTCACAATTTCCATCTGCGAAAGTAACCAGCAATGGTTTCAGTAAAACGTTTGAGGAGAAAACCCTTCTTTTCAGATCTTTTAATTTCTCTTCTGCATACATGTCAGAAATAAGATGACTGGATATTTTGTTCTGCTCTAACAATTTGCATAAATTGGTACCTTGTTACCTTTTGTCTCTTTCCATGCCTACATTTCTTCATTCATCCATTCATGCATGGAATACTTCTTTTGCAAGCTACACAAGATAAAAGAAAAATGCATAAATCAAATTTCATCATCTGGGTTTCTTAAAGTATCCCGTTTTGACTGTGTCTGTATTTTGGTCTCTCTTCAGGACTGGAAAATTATTTTGTACTTAAAATGCTGTCCCAGGCAGGTTTTTAGGGGAACACAGAAGTGCTAGTGGTAGCAATTCAACAAGGACACATTTTTCCTTTATCATTTCTTTGGACTGAGAGAAAAAAACACGAGTGAAAGTACCATGGTAACTTTCCTCCAATTTAAAAAAAAACAGAAATCAGCAAAAAGGTGTTATAATTAAATACTGTGGTAGTACTTAGAGGCCTTGGCCCCATTATGCAATGAATGTTTAAAATCATAAACAAAAATACTGTTGCCTTCAGTGAATATTTATGCTTATATTAAATATTCAGTCTCCCTTGTCTTCCCCCTCCCTTTCAGTGGGGTTAGCATTTTTCCAGAGAGCTTTGTTAGCTGGTCACTCTTCCCTTATCAAATGCTTCCTGCACCTAAACTGCCACCAGCTAAAACTAACATACCCTTTGGGTGAATCTGGAGTTCCTCATGTCTCTAGGGCGGTAAGTACATAACCAGCTGGGAGGAAAGACCTGCTTAGTTATTTCCTGTGTAAGTGAGGACAAGGAGATCAACTTCAGTAGTATTTGACTTGTGATTTCTCAATATTCAGTCATTTTTATGATAACTGAAAACTTTGCTTTCTCTGGTAGGAAATCTCTATACCCAGCTAAAATGCTGTTTTATAAAATGGATGGAAAGAGACAAAGACATAATACTAACAGAAAACTATTTTCTCTGCTATCCTACCTCATGACATGCTCTGGATTCAAAGGCTTCTTCATCCAAATAATACTAGGTGATAGTCACAGGGAGAGGATACTTGGCTTAAGCCAGCTACTTTTAAGCAAGTTGAAAAAGATGGTTGTGACTGGCAGTGACATTGAGAGGCAGAGATGTCCATTCCTTCAGGAGAGTCATTCATGGAATCAGTTGCCAGATTCAAAAGAAGTGGACTCACTCCTGCATTCAGACATCTGGCAGTATTTAACTGAATGAGGAACAGAAATTGTTACTCACCTTCAGAGAAATGTGTCTTTCCTCTTACTTGGACTACAGCTCCACGCTGTCCTCATGCAGAAGACCATTTATGAACCCAGAGGGCAACTGAGCACCACGTAGCCACTCACTCGCTCCTTCCCCCTCAGGGATGGGCAGGAGAAAATAAAATTAAAGGCTCAGGGACTGAGACAAGGACAGGGAGGGATGACTCACCAGTTATGTTCACAGGCAAAAGACAGACTCATTAAGGCAAAAAAAAAAGAACATCAGTTTAATCTGAACACCTCCAACACTTAATCTTCCAGTCAGTAGCATAGTGAGAAATACAACCACATCTTTGAAACACCTTCCCTCCACCCCTCCCTTCTTCTTGGGCTCAACTTCATTCCTGATTTCTCTGCCTCCTCCCCCTCAGCAGCGCAGGGGGGCAGGGGAGGGAGTTGCAGTCAGTTCATCACCCCTTGACTCTGCCATTCCTTCCTCCCCAGGGGGAGGACTCTTCACACTCTTCCCCTGCTCCAGCGTGGGGTCCCTCTCATGGGACACCGTCCTCCACAAACTTCTCCAACACAAGCCCTTCCCACGGGCTGCAGCTCTTCACGAACTGCTCCAGCGTGGGTCCCTCCCACGGGCTGCAGCCCTCCCAGTGACAGACTGCTCCAGCACGGGCTTCCCTCAGAGTCTGGGCCTTCTTTGGGTGCAGACACCTGCTCCGGTGTGGGGTCCTCCACGGGCTGTGCGTGGGCATCTGCTCCACCACGGAGCTCCCTGGGCTGCAGGGGCACAGCCTGCCCTCTCACCACAGGCTGCAGGGGGGGCTCTGCTCTGGTGCACCTCCTGCCCATCCTCCTCCTTCTCTTCCTCCTTTCTTCCACTGAACTCGGTGTTTGCAGAAGTATCTCCCTTACAACTACTCCTCCTCTCCAGTTCCCCTTCTTAAATACGTTATCACGGAGGCGTGATAGTCTTTACTGGTAAGATCAGCCTTCAGGAATCCCAGGCCCCTGAGACCAGAGGGAGAGTGTGGCACAAGGAAGACTTACACTTGGTGGAGGAGGAGGATCAGGTTAGGGAACGCTTACAAATCTGGGCATACCTAAGTCTGTGGTGCCTGATGCCGTGCACCTCTGAGTGCACAGGGAGCTGGCTGGTGTCATTGCGAGGCCACTTTTGATCATATTCCTGAAGATTGGAAGAAGTCACATGAAATTCAGTCTGAACACACAAAAACTGTTTTTTTACTGTGAAGGTGGTCAAACACTGGAGTGGGTTACCCAGAGAGATTGTGGAGTCTCCATTTGTGGAGGTATTCAAAACTCAGCAGGACACGGCCCTGGACAGCCTGCTCTGGCTGACCCGAGCAGGGGGCATTGGACTAGGTGATCTCAAGGTCAGTTCTAAATGTAACAGTTCTGCAATTCTCATTATTCTGTTTCTCCATTATGTTTCTATTAACAAGTGTTGCATGATACAGCGTAATCTTGCACAGAGCAAAGAGCTGAAGGATATCTTTAGAAAGAACCTGACTACGCTCTGAATAGGTCTGGGTATCTGAGTCATGGGCAGTTTTGAAACGCAACAGGATTCAGGCTAATTCAAGGAGAAAACAAATGGGGAACTAAAATTCATTGTTTCCCAGAACTTCCTTTGATGCCTATAATTCTTGTGTTATCAGACAGAAGTTTAACAAACATGTTCTCTGCAATATGTAATCACATTTTGGAAAAAGAATTGCCTTAGGATGCTTTTGATGCAACAAATACCAGAATGTTTAAATGGGGATTAATCAGTCATGGAAAACCTTCACTGACATCTACTGAAATTATGTGTATACAAGTTGTGATTTTTCAAGTCCTTTTGTTGCAAATTCCTACAAGGGGAAGACTGTAATTTCAAAAGTATTCCTCTGTAATTTCTTTATTCTTACTACCTTGCACATCTCTGCTAGTGACAGTAAGGTGCAAGATACTGAACAGACCTTTGGTTTAAAGGTCAGCTTATGGCCTGTGATCATACAGCCATTCTTACATTATTATTTTATTTCTACTATATGCCATCTTGAAAGATGATCAGTAGCTAGATGTCAAAAATATATGAAGGGGGCAAAAGTATACTTTTCTGTCTCTTCTCTAATGATGACTCTGCTTGAAGATATACCAAAACAGGTTGAGGTGCTCCCAAATTGGGATCCAGTCTGAATCAATTCTACTTATATAGATCCAAGCTATAGAGATCCCAAGCTGTGGCAGTCTTAGATCGAAACCGATGTACCATTCCTAGAAATTGTTCTGGAGTTTAAGTCTATTAGCATTGTTTGAGCTATATTTATACTTGCCCAAGGAACTGTCACACTGCATAGCTGTACTGCTAATGTGTCTTCAGCCAACCACCCGAGCAAGCAAGGAGGTGTCCACTCATCGTTCCTCTGCAAAGGAAGTACCATGTATCTGGAGTAATCTTAACTTCCTCTACTTCTCAGAAGTCGCAAGTGCAGGCCTGGAAATCATTCTGGACTGATACTCAATTAAGTGAGGGCTTCTCCTGATAGGTCTGCTAGCAGCTGAAGACAATATTCTGCATTCCTTGGTTGGTGGGAGTGCTGCTTGCCACACCGGCATTCCAAGAAGGAATGAAAGCTTGCTTCACTGTATTTCTTCAATATGTTGTCAAAAGAAGGTATTCTGACTTGCTTCTTGGCATCTTTAGCTGGCATGGACTTTGAATAGTAAGAAAACTGAGGGACGATTGCGGACAATCCACATTTTATGTTCTTACATTGGAACACAAAGCAGAAGAGGTTGTGTGTTCAGCTGTGAGAGATTCCTCTGCTCACAGACACTGCCTGTATGCTTATTGATTGAGGGATTGACTCTGACAACAATATCTGGGAGAATCTGAGTTACTCAGAGTAGCTATTTTCTCTTTGAAGAGGTGTCCTTGTTTCAACTGGGATAGAGCTAATTTGTATTTTTTCTTAGCAGTTAAAATAGCGCTGTGTTTTGGATTCAGCGTGGGATTTGATATGAGAAGAATGTTGATAATGTGCTGACTTTTTAGTTGTTGCTTAGAAATTAAGGACTTTTCTACTTCTCACGACCTGCTAGTGTGCAGGTACACAAGAAGCTGGGAGGGCGTGCAGCCAAAGCAAAGGACCCAAACTGCTAATGGAATATTCCATATCTAATGTCATGCTCAGTATAGAGATGAGGGCTGAGTGGAAAGCTTGCTCTCGCTTCCAGGATTGTGGTTTTGGGATTCTCACTTCTCTGGAATCGCTAGCTGGGATTGGGCTGGGCATCAGTCAGTGGGTGGTGAGCAATCACATTGTGCATTACTTGTTGGTATTTTCTATTATTACTACTATTATTAGAATCACTATTTTAATTATTAAATGTTTTTTATCTCAACCCATGAGTCTCTTTACCCTTACCCCTCCAATTCTCCTTCCCGTTCTCTGGGGTCGGGGAAGGCGACCAAGTGGCTGCCTGGTGTGTGGCTGCCGGCCGGGTTTAAACCACAAGAGGCATGACATGTCAGGAAGTACATGTCTGAAATCATAAGGGTTCTGCCTAATTTAATCTGGATACTCTTGCACAGTAGTCGTCTTGAATCCAATTTCAAGATCCAGTGCTCTAAGGAAGACACGATTGATCATCAAACGACTGTTGTATTTACCACACCAGTGCATTTATTTGTAGATGCAAAGTAAGTTAAAATATTGATTGTATAGAATTAACTGTACCATGTCTATCATTTAGTTCTGTCGGACACACTGGAATGTTAGTAACATTTTGATTTGATCTGGATTTTTTTTTTCAGTTTCCTTTCTTTCTGTATACAACTTTGTGGTAACATTCATTACATTTGTTTGGTTTGCAATGCTTATTGTGAATAGTCTGTCCCCCTCTTTTCTGAAGAATAAAGTTGATGATGACCATTTGTGACAGAAATGAGGGAATATAACAGATTTATGTTTATGCATACTCGTGTTGTCCACAAAATACTCCATGCCCAGTTAAAAAGTCACAGTGCATTAATGATGAAATGCTGGCGATATTTAAGCACCGGTCAGACAGATGTCCAGGAAATATCTCTACTATCATTCTCTTGTCCCTGCTTTTCAGTAGCTGGGCCTTTAAATTTGCAAGACAGTCAGCTGGTGAACAATTTGTATCTGACTCCTGCATGCTGCAACTGCCTTTCCACAAGCTGGCAAGTATTCTTTCCTCCTGTTATTTTAACTTGGTTTCTTATCTTTCTTATTCTAGAGGAGAAGATTGTTCCTCAGAGCACTAACTTGAAAACTTAGTATTAAACCTAATCTTTGCTCCAAAATACTGTTAGCCTTTCCTTCTATCTTGTAGTCATTTCTTAATGTTTTATCTCCATCAACAGGTTTTCCATTTATTAGGTATGTGATGATCAAGAAAATTTGGTAGGATGATCTTCCTTCACTGGAAATTATTTTTACCAACTGAATACAATAAAAAAAAAATCTCTAGTGCAAAGATAAATTAAATTCTGAGGACCCAATCCAGTAGAGTTTGCTTTCACCTTTATTTCATATATGTGATTCTAATAGCTTAAAGTGCTTTTATCTGTTTTATTTTCCTATTTACAGGAAGAACACAGTTTAAAGTGGTAATTAAAGCACTTTCTCCTAAAGAGGTCACCAGAATTTACACTCCTCGCCCTTTGGACAGAAATGATGGCACATTTCTCATGCGGTATCGGATGTATGGGAGTGTCAGAAAAGGGTTAAAAATTGAGATACTTTATGGTGATCAGCATGTAGCTCAATCACCTTATATTTTGAAAGGTAAGGGTATTGTTTTGATTTAACGTAATGTATGATGGTAGCTGCAGAAATGCTATGGCTAATTTACTGCTAGGGGAAGAGGTGAGAAATTAGAGGTTTGTTTGCCCTTGTTCATGTAGTCTCCTCACCAATGTTCTCCTAAGACAGAGAAGTAAGCAGTGACAATCTCTATACATTGCCAAGTTCCAGGACCTAGATGCATACCCATGTAGATTATGGCCTCTGTCGTTAAGGTGATGTGTCTGGACACCTCCTCTTCCCTCTTGCATAAGGAAATTAATCTCTTCTGATTTGGTAGGGAGTAATAGAGCAATGTTTGTATTTTTACTGTTTTCAAGCAGGTGTTCACTTAAACATTGTGTTATTTTTATCTAACGTAGAAAATACTACCTGCAAAAGCAAGGAGTCTGCTGTTCCCAACACTTGGTAATTCAGATGTCTGTGATTTCTAAAAAGTGTGATTCTTCATAACAACAAAGACAGTAGATCTTTAACCAGACAATATTTAACTTTCTCTTTCCATTAGCCCAGTTTAATTCAGTGCAGGTCTATACTAGGGAAGAACTATTTAAAAGCAGGGAAAACAAGGTGAATTATTCTCTCATTCCAGATCTGCTGCTTTAACTTCTTTCCCGTGCTCTCAAATGGACAGCTCTTTAGCAAAGAAAAAGATAATATAAAGTTACTTCTTTGGAGAGTCTTGTTTCAACTTGCCACTAATTCTTCTAACTAGAATTTGGTCTTTTTTCTTTTTCTTTTTTTTTTTTTTTTTAATAAAATTTTCTAAATACATACTTAAATATCTTCAAACTGAAATTAAACTGTCCTGAGTCCTCAAGGTAGTAATATGACTTCTTTTTGCTGGTGCATATTTGCCAGCAGCCATGAAACTATGACACAGGACAGAACCTGTTTTGATTACAAGTCCATGAAGTAAGGGCTTTTTTTTCACAAGGTTCTTGCTTATACTTAAGCTCTCTGCTTCTAAAGGACAGAAGGAATGGTTGTTTATATGTAAAAGAAAACACCTTGTGCCAGAGGTAAAGATTACTGTATCAAAGTTCTGAATTAGGCTGAAATTTAAACTGTAATACCTGAGCTTTGGTAGTTATGGACAGTTAGAGCAGTTCTGAATACCCTGTGTGGTTGGCAGGTAGCACAATAATGGAGCTTCATTTTGCAGATGAATTTTGCCCTGATAACAAAAAACCTGATATTTTGATTTCTGAAAAGGGAAGAATGTTGCTGTTTTCTCGGTTACTCTGTTAAACTCCAGAAATGTTGTAGGGAGGACGATTTCCCAGGGGAACTTAAGAAAACTTGGAACAAAAAATGCCAAGCCACTGTAATGTCTATATTTTATATGCCCATGTATTTGAACAATTACAATTGATGTAGACTCACAAATATAGACTCTCAGTGCTTTGTTTTCTGCAGGACCAGTTTATCATGAATATTGTGACTGTCCTGAAGAAGACCCTGAGATCTGGCAGAACGTTATGTCTTGTCCATCCCAAGAACCTCAGATTACACAGGACTTCATTTCTTTTCCCACCATTGACCTTCAGCGAATGCTTAAGGAAATCCCAACAAAGTTCAGTCAAACAAGAGGTGCTATTGTTCATTACACTATTATCAATAATCACATCTACCGTCGCTCATTAGGGAAGTATACAGACTTCAAAATGTTCTCTGATGAAATGTTCCTGTCACTTGCAAGAAAGGTAACAGCTCTGATCATTTAAGACTATTAAGTCATGTTCTAATATGGCAATATTGCATTAGTTGTTTTATCTTCAGATTTATAACTCCTGAAGTAAGATTTGACTTCTGTTTTTTCATCAAGATGACAGTGTATCTTAGGGATAATGTGTGGGGACTGAGCTTGACAGTAATGAAATTGCTAGGAAAGCTGCAGGGGCTAATGCTCTGCAAGACTTTTCCTGGCCTCTGTGTTTCTTTCATACTTGCTTGTGGGGCAGAAACTTGAAATTCATACCTTAAGCTCAGCTAAATCTGTTAACTATCTAGTAGGTTTACTGGTTCTGCATGACATCAGAGAACTGAGGAATATATCCAAGTGACAAACAGCTTCTCTCTTGGTGTTATGATCCTTTCTTGGGTAAACATTTAGGTTCGTCTTCCTGATGTGGAGTTTTATCTTAATGTTGGAGATTGGCCAGTTGAGTATCGGAAAGCTAATGATACACCTGGTCCTATACCTGTCATTTCATGGTGTGGCTCTGTGGATTCAAGAGATATAGTCCTTCCAACGTACGATGTAACCCACTCGACTCTTGAAACCCTACGTGGAGTCACAAATGACCTCCTTTCTATTCAAGGAAATACAGGTAAATTAGAGATTGTGGATTTTAAAAAAGAATTTGTAAATTCATCCAAGAAGCAAGTTGCATTCAAATAACGTGTTAAACTCTTCAGTTCACAAGTGCCTTAGGAGGTCTCTTAGTACAGGCAGGATGGTAAACAGATGGTAAACACTTTCAACATTGCTACTAAGCAGGTATTTAATATGGATTTAGAGCCAAAATTTACAAAGTCCAGTTTACAATAATGGTGAATTTTAACATAAAGGTATCCAGAAGATAGCTACTGTGACCTGTCCGAAGAAATGTAAATATCATTAAAAGGCCTTTCTCCTTAGTGGAAGACTTGAATGTATTCCTTCTAATCAAATAGTAATCCTTTTCCTGACAGTGATGTGGCCCATTGTTCTGTTTACATAAAAATGAATTTGAATCATGAAAGAAGTAATTAGTAATATGCTACAGCCTCTTTCAAATAAGAAAATACTGTCTGTATAAAAAAATACCTCAGAGTGGGATCTTCTGAACTGTTTTTCTAGCTTTGAAGGAAGATTCAGTTTTACTGGAGGTGTCTTCCTCCCCCCCCCTGGAAATTAATGAATACTTAGGGATCAGACAAATGGCATGAATGATGCTAAGGAGTAAAACTTGAGTGAGGGGCTATTTATTTTTATTTGATTAGTTCACATTTTCTCTTTTGTTACTTTTTAAAATAAATATTTAATTAAATTATCAGTTTGAAGCACTGATTTAGTACAGCTGCTTTTCCAATTAGGAGATGGTAAGAACGTACTCCACTTCAGTAGGATCTTTAAGAAAATTTCCGGCAGAAGAATGAGGAAGGACATATTTGTTGTTTTTAAAAGCAGGCAGTATGCAGAGATTAAGTCTTTCAGGCTCTTGCTAAGCATCTTGAGGACACAGTATAGCCATTTTTTTTCCTTTTTAATTCATCATTAAGTGATTCCTCAAAGACCTAACTAAATTGCTGGGTAACAGAAGTGGATTTTACTAAAGAAATCTTGGTTATTGTGGCCGGCTTTATGGATGGAGAATTACTGTAATTATTAGTATTTTACTTACATGATTTGATTATAATCCCTTATGTAGCTTTCAAGATATTTCAAGCTACTTAAATAGAAAATTGTTGAGTGGAAAAGCAATTCTCTGATTTTCCTTTTATAAGTGGCTCAGTTTCTCATCCCCAAATTCAAACCAGAACTGGGAGTTTAAATCCTGTGATTAATAAGTGATTATGGATCCACTACAAGAAATCATGCCTGTTTTACCATGTCTCTGAGTACAATGCCACTGTCGTAGCAAGTTCATTATTCGTACTAAACATATCATGAACATTTCATTACTATTTGCTTTTACCTTATCACTCAATGCTCATAGGCCCATTGTGGAAAAACAAAACCGAGCGAGCTTTATTTAGAGGTCGAGACAGCCGAGAAGAACGTCTCCATCTTGTCAAGTTATCCAAGGAAAATCCAGACCTGCTAGATGCTGGAATAACAGGATATTTCTTCTTCAGAGAAAAAGAAAAAGAGCTGGGAAAGGTTCAGCTGATGGGCTTCTTTGACTTCTTTAAGGTATCAAACAAATTACAGTCCTGGATTAATTCTGCTGTCAGGTTCTTACCAACTGAAAAGACAAGGCTTACTTTTGCTAATTCCATTCAGTAAACAAAACAATTATGCTACACTGGTCCATGCAGGTTAGATAGACCACCTGTAATCAAAGTCATAGTGTGACACACTTCTAAGAAACCCACTATACTTTTTTCATGGAGTCTCTTAGAGGGAGTTCTTGGAGGGTTTGGGTGTTTTTTTAATAGATTAATAAATTTGATTTCTCAGCATCAGGGTTTCCTTTCTTTGGGGTAAACTTGTGTCCATTGCAAATATGTTATGGATGTCAGAGAGAGTCCTTGCAGTAACAATTTAGAAAATTAGATGGGTGGTTTTGTTGCACTTTAACACACAAATTTCACTGCAATAGAAGTATAAAAAGTAAAGGGGACAGAGTCCTGTAAAAAGCAATTATATGACAACTGAAGTTCTGTTCCAGAGATTAAAATATCAGAAATGCTGTAACAGCCAAAAGCATTTGCCAGAGCAGTACATTCATATTACTTTTAGTATAATGCTTCAGATTATTTTATATAATAATATATGTTTTAGATTATTCTACATAATAATATCATTTTGAGTCAGAATAAATTTACTATTTTTTAATTTAAGTATCGTTTAGTTTTATTTCCTTCCCAGCTCTACCCCTTGCTCTCTCCCAGGACACTTTAATAGAATAACCATCAGGTTCTTCATGTGACACAAAGGTTCCTGACTGTCAGTCTTGGACTGAAAACAAATCCTTTTTCCATTATGTTATCCAGACTGCCATGAAACTACACCTGCTTAACACTAAAACAGCTTGGAAAATAAGAATTGATAAACACAATTACGTCCTGCATGTGAAAATAATCTTCTATACAGTCAGCGTTCCTATTCTGATTCAAAATGTTTCACCTTTTTTTTCTGCTATCTTCATATTGTAGTACAAATACCAAGTGAATGTAGATGGGACTGTAGCAGCTTACAGGTTTCCATACCTCTTGCTGGGTGACAGCCTAGTATTGAAGCAAGATTCCCAGTACTATGAACACTTTTATATTGGATTAAAACCTTGGAAACATTATGTTCCAGTTAAGAGAAACTTAGAGGACTTGCTAGAGAAAATAAAATGGGCTAAGGTAAGTTCCATTACTAATTCAAGTTCAAAGTGATAAACAAACATGTAAACCATTTATCTTAATACTCTCTTCTTTTTGTATTTCTACATACATATTTTGCATGAACTCTATTGAGATCCTGGGATAAAGGAAGTACATTTTGTTGTTAGTATAAGATGGGAAGGCCTTCATTCAAGTAACCATCTCTATTCAAGGAAATACTTAAGAATTCATTTTAGGTATGTGCAGTTGTGTTTCATGAGTCAGAGCCTGAGTATACTGACTACTCCAGGTAATTTTCAAAGAAACACCCAGAATCCTAGATACTATTACATTGATTCGATGGGGGTATTTTAGGTTCTGACTAGAACAGAAGTCACTGCATATTCTGCTTGAATGTACAAAAAATCACTGCTCTGTAACATGCTCAGAATAAGAGGATGGAATTCTGTAACCAAGCAAACCGACATAATTACGTGATTGAAAACACCATTTATGCTTTAAGTTTAGCTATTAGGTTAAAAAACATAGGAAAAGTTTCTGTTCTGAGATCACTGTAGTTCTTCATAAAGAATCAGATGAGAATACTAAAAGCTTTGAAATACAGACCTAAAAAACTTGACCGTGAGTACACGAAATCAAGCAGAGTTATTTTTAAAAGGAAGACATTGAATTGCATTGCATAGCAGAGGACAACAGTTGTGGCTTTGTCTTCTGTAAAACTAAGTACGTCTGGGAGATGTCAGACCTGACTTTGAAGAGGCTTGTGGCTTGGACAAAACAGTAAAGCAATAATCAACTGAGTTTTCAAAATTGCACAATTATCCATGAAAGTTATTATTGATAGCCCTAAGGTACCAGTTGTGACCATAGAAGCAATCCAGTAGTTTTAAAAAATCTGCAATTTAAAGTTGCCTTTGCAGTCTACCAGTAATTGCACACAAAGTTGCAAGTTTGAAAAGCCCCTTTAATATAAAACTTCTAATGCCAGTCAGGCTTTGAGTAACTCACTGACTGCTCTATTATTCATTTGTTTCATCTCAATTTTCCAGGAAAATGATGAAGAAGCAAGAAAAATTGCTAAAGAAGGACAATTAATGGCAAGAGAATTACTTCAGCCTCACAGGCTTTATTGCTACTATTATAAAGTGCTCCAGGTTAGTACAATAGATCACTTTATTACTTTCCCCCAACTGTACTGCTACCAATGCTACACATTTCATACTCAGTCCTTGCTTTTATCAGTAGCAGACACAGTTTATGTTAGTCATAGGTGTGAAGAGCTTTGCTAAAACTTGCTTCCAACCTGACATAGCAGTTGTTTTACAGAATCAGAGATTTTATGTTTTTTTGCCCCACCCCCACAGTCAGACCTGTTTTCAGTGTCCTTTGGCACATGGTTTCTAACAGACATAGGAGACAATCTCTTCACAACTTTCTTCCTTCTTCTCTTCATACTTATCCCCTCATGGGCTACTCTGCTGTATTACAAAACAATGAATACATGGAAAACAAATTCTAGAAGTATGGCTAATAGAGTGGCAAGGGGTGAAGCAAGCCAAACAGCAATTACTTCCCTAGGAGATGCAAAGCTCTAGTGAAAGAAGTTTCTGTTCTCTGAAAGTACTAATTTCTTTTTCCTGTTTTGCTGTGCAGAGTTGGAGCTCAACTTCAGCAGCCACAGGTTGACACAACATTTGGGACTGTTCAGTGTACAAAAATTACAGCATTGTCTGCATAAAGTGGTTAGAGGCACAAATAATGACAATATTCAAATTACCATTAATAATAGGACAGGGGAAAACATTAAAGGAGGTTTTCAGAGGCAGTGTAGCATATTAGTAGGTATGTTATAAAGACACCTTGTAAACAGATTGTAAACAATGACATAAGGAGCCTGGAAAAAGGCAAGCTTGTGAATGGAAGGGAGGAGGAAAATTCTGTTTCATGAATTATACGTTCATGCTTATAGCATTCTTAAATGTTGTTTACATATTTCAGAAATATGCCAAACGGCAAGCCAGCAAACCTGAAATACGGGATGGAATGGAACTTGTACCTCAGCCTGACGACAGAGACTCAGTATGCAGTTGCCACAGGAAAAAGCCTTTAAGGGAAGATCTATAACTGTACCGGATGGAGAAAATCACCCACTTACAATGCAAGAGTTTAAATAGGAATTAAGCTGTGAAATCTAAGACATTTATGCACTAGCAAACATTCTTAGTTATGTATTTTTCTTGTATTTAGGTATCCTTTTTCACACCGACTCTGATCTACCAAATTGGTTCCCACAATTTTCTCCATGACCACCACCAGACAGATATGGAGCCTGTAATGGGAAGCGTCTGGGGGATTTGTTTGATGTGCTGCATCATCAGGAAGGAGAGCACAGTGCTGCTCGTGTTTCAGCTGGGACCTAGTTATGAGTTTTATGAGGAACCAGTCATCCACAAAAGATCTTCCATGAGTCAGTGCAAGTTATTCTAAAGGAGCATTTGCAACATACTAAAACAGTGTTATGATTTCTTCATAAAGTTTACCTCAGTGTTAGATTGCTTCTTGTATACAAAACAATTTTCTAACTAGACAAAGAAAATGAATATTTGAGATTTACAGATATCAAATCTGGTGTTGCTTTGAGATTATTTTGTGGTCTATGACAGAATAGAAAACATGATACAATACTTATCAATTTCAGAAGAAAATGGAGAGGTGGGGCAGAGATCAGAATACTATTTTTACAAGCATCATGGCTGTGAATCATCAAAATTAAATGGTGCTTTAAAGCGGACTGTGTAGCTATCACAATCACAGTGCTTTGAGTACCAAGACCCTACTCTGAAGACCTGCTCCCTGCCAGTGACCATGTTTGTGAATATAGGGACAGATCCACAAAAGGACTTAGGAACTTCAGGTGAGACCAGGTGAAATACTGGTGTCTTAGTTCAACAATACAGTCTACTGTGTTCTAAGCTACTTGAATATTCACATGTGAAATCTGTTAGTGGAGTTTTAGACCACCTAGGTTTATCTTCTGTGTAGAGCTAAGGATGCCACCATCTTTTTCACTTGGATTCATGAATTACCTTTTCCTGTGCCTAAGTCCCCAGAGGGATCATTTTCTGAATTTAGATCATACCTAACCTTAGACTGAGATCAGACAGCAGATCAGACTTCATTGTTTTGGTTCAAATGTATGACAGAAAAACCTATGCTGCACTTTCTATGTAATAGTGTAGGGGTTAGAGACCATACTAAGCAATTGGGAAGCCAGTTGTCCCTCTTGGTTTGATTCAAAGTCATTTTCCAAAGAATGCCTTAGCTCCAGACTGGAGAAGAGGTCTTCAGGTCTTCCACTGAAGTTGTGCAGCCATGAAGCTAACAATACAAAATACACAGGGCCAGAAGGAGCTGGTCATACCACTGCAATAAAGTGTGCCTTTGGGTGGGGTAGAGGAAAAATCCTAGCCCTGGATGTAGCTCCCATACCTCTTGATTTTTACCCAAGTTTGTCTACTTCAAAATGCATAAACAGTCCTGGAAGGAGGCACCAATGCCAATATCAAGACCAATGCCCACAAGCACCCATTTCTGTCCTCTGCATTTTTGTCTTGGCTAATGTAGCCTGCCTGAGCAGCTTCCTACTCAGCTGCACTCAGATAATGTCTTTTGTGGATACCAAACTCTCTTCACACAAAAAGGAATGGAAACATCTTAAGATTGTGGACTTGTCTAATTGCTTAGGTGCTTAAAGTTTAGTGCTCTACACCTCATGCAGGCTTAATTTGTGGCTCTACACTGCAAGTTACTCTCATCAGCTTTTTCAGCATGCTAAATATGGAAAGAACTTCAGGTTTCTGAAGAGGTTAATGCCACTGTCCATCAGTCATTTATTATGTTATGCTAGTTAAAAAAAAAGCTGGAACATATTGTTCTACCCATCATCGTCTTTGTTCTGGTTCTAACACTTATATATACAGTGGTTGCATTTTTATTTAGCATGACAATCAGCCCTAGAACTTCAGACTATAAATACATGTTCAGCTCATCTGACGAAGTTTTCTACATCAAAATTCAGGTACAGGGTTCCGTTGCTGAAGCTGACACTTAAAACTGAGTATGTGCTCATCTTTCCTTCTCTGTGTACAGTCATTTTTACTGTATGATATGATGTTATTTTGTGATATTATCTATTACACCATGTACATTTTAGATTCACCAGTATTTATGGAAATGATGTGCTCAGCAAAGGCAACTAAGCATACCAGATGGTTGAAGCAACAGTTTTCCACCTCTCACATATATTTCAAACCCAAAGTCCAAAAACTATCTGTTTACATTTTTAAAAATGGGAGGGAACAGGGAGAATCGTGACACATACTTTAGAGTTATTTGGAAATATCTGCGTAGGAAAACTTGCCTGGCTTGAAACAGAAGTCTTTCAAATGGGAAGAAGAATCAGATAAAATTTAAATGGTCATGAATAAATGCAAATACTTCATCCCTCCTTTCTTCCCTCATAAACAGGGGAAAAAAAAATTCTAAATTCTTCTCTGCCAGAAAAACCCTCCTTGCTTTTGTAATAAGCATCCCTTCAAAGCAAAGACTAGTTTGTCACAGAATGCCTTAAGGATGCTTTTATAGCTTAGAGGCAAGAAATATCCTGAAAAATAAGAATACATTCATCTTCCTGCCAAAATTAAAAAACAGTAGAGACATGGTAGAACTTTCATTAAAAGTGCTTAGACATTTGAGAAAAATCTGGTTCAATTTATAACTACAGATCTTCCAAAGATAAAAGAAGGTAAGGCAAAGCCACTCTTCTTTCCATTGGTGGTACTATATGCAATTTAAATTGTAAAGAAGAGTAATCATAACCATTGCCCTTCCAGGCCAGAAAAGATGTCAGTTCTACTTTAGTTTGATGACAGGATGATACTTATTGGCCTGGTGTGTTACAGAAATTGCTAAATATTCAGTAAAACCTGTTTGTACAAGTAAAGTATAATACATACATTACACACTATTTTTAAGTGACATACACACATGAGCGTTTCTATTTTTCTATAGTAGTTCTTGAACAGCAACTGAGTAAATCTCTTGTACATCTAGCAGTTGGTGAGAATTTTAAAAAAACAGTTACCACAGTACTGAATTTTGCTACAGAAATTTCAGCTTTTAATGCACAACATAGGATTAATATAGAGAGCAGTATCTGTCCTGTTTTCATCAATGGTAGTCATTTTTAACACACTGCAGAACTTATCACTGATGACAGAGACAGGTTTATTTGTTTGAAACAGTATGTCCTAAAGTCCATGGCCAGTATTTTCAAACATAGGAATCTACATAGAAGCGGTCTGACTTCCAAAAACAATGCAAAGCCTTTACTTAAGGTTCCTGATTTTCAGATCCCTTTAATCTTAATAGTTTCATACAGCTAACACTCCAGAAAATTAGTCCTTTTATGTTATGTCAAATATATGTCCTAATATATTTAGGCACCCATATTTGGAAATACTCACCCAACCTCAATTTCATCTTGAAATGAGAACTAGTAAATCATGATCCGTTGAACATAAAGGAGATAGAAATTCAGTACATTTTTAGACTATTTTTTGAGATTTACCTCAAGATAACTAATATTCTAGTTTCATGACAGTATTGTGCCAGGTCTGCCTTGTAGATTCATAATGAAAAAAACCCTATAATCAAAGCTTGACTGATGGAATGTTAGATTCAAGCTTCCATCCTGGGAAGCATACGCCCGACATTTATTACATTAGAAAGTAAATTATTTAGTTAGGGAGGAGACCTGACAGGGAAAACATACATCACCTGTTTGAGCACGTTTGAGAAGCTTGCAAAGAAATGATAATAAGGAAAAGAAGCATTACATAAACCTAGGATATTATCAGCTCCTTTACTGCTTCAGTTTTTCAAAAGTGTTCTCTGGAAGGGCAGTGAAGAAGTGCAAGATTTTATATAAATATATTATTGTTTAAGTTCACAGGATTTCACCACTAGAATCTTCTGTGAATACTTTCATACCATTGTAATGAGGCTATGTGAGTACTAATGCTTGTCTTTCGTTTTGAGTTGTTAATAATGTAAGAAAATTTATATTGTAGAGAGTCATGGCACTAATTCTGTGTTTTGCTGTAAGAATAAGGGAAAAAGGCTTATTTTTCATGTGTGCCTGAAGACATTTGAGACACCTATAGCACACACCTCAATCGAGTCCCATCCTGGTAGTGGTAAGCAAGAGGTGTATTAGCAAGAGTGTGGCCAGTAGGTCAAGGGAGATGTTTTTTCCCTTCTGTTTGGCAGTTATGAGACTGCAAATGGAGTACTGTATTCAATTTTTGACTGGCCTATACAAGAAATACATTCACATGGTGGAACTGATGCAGTCGAGGACCACCAAGGTGATAGAGGGTTTGGGGCACATGAAGTACGAGGAGAAGCTGAGTGAGCAGGGTTAGGTCAGCCTTAAAAAGAAGGCAAAGGAAAAATTACCTTGCTGAACTCTAAAAGGAAGGTATAGAAAAGCTGAAGCCAGTCTTCTCAGAGGTACACACCAGAAGGCCTACCAACAACAGACACAAGGTGCAACACGGGAAATTTCAATTAGATCAGGGAAAAAAAAAAAATCTTCACACTGATATCCCCAAGGAGATGAAGCTTGGTCTGCATGACCGCCAGATGTTCATCATTCTGTGAACTACATTTTGGTCATACTACAAGCATTTATCTAATCACATAGCAGGAAGATAAAAACATCCAGATCTTGGGTGACTCCAAGAGGCAATGTAGCCTTTCTGTGCTGACACTTTTGACACTATTCATGTTTATGTCTCCCTTGATAATATTGACTAAGTTTTGCAGATATTTTATTGTTGGCTTACAAGGCTATACAGTTATATATTATCACCATATACCATAGTCATGCAGTACACAGAGGATTTGACAAATAGGACACATTGATTTGGCATTATATGCTTGGACTGATTGAAAGTGCAAGACTTACACTTTCCAGAAGCTGAATATACACTTTATATGTATGAGACAATTACAAAAGATTTTTAGTATAGTTATGAACCAAAGTAATTAATTTTAAGCAGTCAGTGGGAATATCAATGTACTTTTAAAGTTATACATACACTTAAATGCCAGCATACTCTGTGGGCCACTGGTGAGTGACTGTGACATATTCCCATCCCACTCCCAACACTAAAAAAATCAGTCAGAATCCATCTGTACCACAGATTTGCAATCCAGCATAGAAAAACTCAAGACAGTTCAGCAGGATACCAGAAGGGCCTACCTGAAACAGGACAGAGCTTCACATGGTTATCCTCCTGCTGAAAACCCGTGGAATATATTATTCTGGGTTGAACCTGTCCAAAAGCCGACCAATTCAAGCTATACTTGTGAGACCATAATTTCCACTATAGCTTCTGTGACTCAGAGAGGTTGTTTAGCATTAGCAGATGTTGTTGCTTACCTTTGGGTCAATAGTTACCACACTTCCAGCTACTCTTTTTCTCCCAAAATGTCCAGCCAAGCTGCTAAACCGCTCCAGCTGTAGACATATGCCACCTTATGACTGATAGCCAGGATAAACCAAAATGGTTGCTACTAAGTTGGTAACCTGCAGGTCCAACACCTGATTTCATCTTGCACGTTACCTTCACCAAATTTTGCACTGTTGCAACAGAAAGAGATTTGAGTATTTTATTAATTTTAACATGGAAATCTGCTGACAGAGTGAAAATGGTTTAGAGCAGAAATTGCATTTGCTTCCAAGTGATTATATTTTTGCTCCTACACTCAAAACCATCAGCTTTTACCTCAGGAAGAAGGTAATTTTGCCAGTACAGGTCATTTGATGAATTAAAAAAAAAAAAAAAATCCCTAACCAAACAACACTCTGCTGGTAAAAATTGTTACTCTTTTAAAGAAAGATGGCTGTTACAGATACTTTAGTATATTCTTTCTAGTAAAGGTAAAGCATGAAGTGAACTTTATAAGCAAAATCAGTTTAAAGGGATACCTCAGAAGTTGTCTGTACTGCATTACTGTACACTAATAGTGAAATACAAGATTAGATAATTCACAACAGTGAAATTAAGAGTCAGGGTTATACAATCAGATTTTATCTGCTAAAATATAAGATACAGAAGAAACAAGAAAACATCCTACCTCCAACATAATTACTCAAGCAAAATCCTATACAGAGATTCAACTCATTCTGGCAGATGTCCTTAAGATAGTTTACTTATGCTGTTTTGTGAGTTATTTAAAAAATGTCAGGAATGTATGTTGCTGATAGAAGCTGCATCTCTACCAATAAATTCTGTTTCCTTCTGCCGTATGAACAAAGCTACTTTAATGTGAACTAATCCCCGATGACCAACTCTAGCATGCCTTCTCACATTACAACCATTTCATCTTATTTACAGACTTCAGCATTTCCTCTATTCCTCGAAAGATTCACTTGTGTCTGCAAGGTAATCAACAGTCACACTGATCCAAAACTTCTTGTAACTGAACCTGAGAAGTAGGTGTGAATTTGAAAAACCTGATTTGTACTTAACTATCTTTTCACTCTTTTTTTCTTTTTTTAAAAAAAAAAGGCATTTAAAGGTGGTACAGATCACACAGATATGACTTCCTAACATCCTAAATATTTGGCAATATTTAAATGCAAGTAGTAGATATATAAGATACATAATAATTCTGAGCATTTCTTATGAAATAGTTTCTAAATTCTGATTACCTGTAGGAAAAGACATTTTTCTGTGATAGAATGTGGTATCAAATAAAAAATATTCCAAATGATCCAGAAAAAACACAACTTTTTCCTGACTAGCAATAATACAATATGTATAGTGAATTGTTCCCTGGAATTAAGACCATGGCTATTGCTATTTACTCTTTTGCGAGATAATATAATTCACGTATCAGAGTTCCATTCCAGTCACAGAAACACACATTAACAATCATATCTTTTATTTCAAAATGAACAAAGACACGGGAAAATTGGCTTTCCCCTGTAAAACTGGAATTGATCAACTCAAGCAATCTGTGCACTGGAAGATGCCAATTTGAATGAGGTCCCTTTTAGGGACAGCTACTACCATATGCCTGTTCATGAACCAAATTAAATTAAATCTTAGTGAAGTCCTTAATGAACACACAGCTCTAAGTACCATTAGCAAAGTCAAGAATTTACTTGAATCTGATGATTGAACTACCCTCATAAGCAGTGTTTTCTCTATTTCAGTCACTAGGCAGTTTTGCTCCAAATCCAGACAGTTCTTCTGCTCCTAATTTATCACATTCAACCTTCTCAAGCAACTATGGTCCACTATCAAATGTGTCTGCTATATTAATTTAATATTAAGTTACACCCTGCTTTAATGACATGCACTAATGTGTAATAGTTGTCAAACTGGATCTGTTGTTAAGTAGGTTAACTAGATGCAGTTGTCATCAGTTCTTTGATGGATTATCTTGTTAAGAAAGCCATTATAAAATCACTTCTGATGGGAAATACAAATGATATTCACATAGAAAGGGCAAATTCTGGTCCCATTAGAGTAAATGGCATAGGATTTTTGCAAAGTGAATTCATATTTGTAATAAAAAATAAGGTCTAGAAGGTTACCTGATCCAATGAAAAAAAAATAAGTGAGGGAAAAGCACCTACTGTTCATGGGCAAATGAAAAATTAGCTTGATTATCCTTGGGTTTGAGACACCAGACATCATATAAGACTAGCTAAGCAGTTTGGTACTTCTGGGGACTTAATACCTTGACAAGTTGTCCTCTAAATCAATTCCATTGAACCACTCCATCATTTGTCAAGACTAGCCAAAAACTTAAAGCAAGTAAGAAACGATATGCAAAACTGGCAAAGTTATGGAGAAGAAACTTTTATTGCTTGCCAGTTAGATTTATTTCTTATTGTTATACCATCAAGTACAATCTTAACAATCTATGCCCAGATATGAAAAGCCTAATGAATGTGGCTGATAAACTATGTAATTTTCAGGGAAACAGGAGCAACATCAACTCTCACTGAACACATAAAATTGGCCCTTGAAAATTACATCATCTCAGATTATAGTCTCCTACGTGTCTCTGAGAACAGAATGGTCTGCTCCTAAGGAATTCTCAGTTCTATAGAAAAAGAGAAAATACAGAGTTACACTGGTCACTTGAGTAACCCAATTTAGTAAGTGAATAAATTCAGACATTTTCTGAGGCTTTTAACTTAAAATGGTTTGGCTTTTACTGCAAAACTGTGCTAATTAACCATTTTATTAATTATGGACTTTTAAAGTGGATCACTATGCTACATGGTCCCAAGTTAATACATGGTTAAAATCCCTTTCCCGTAACTCAATGATTTCATGGGAAATAAATATTTTCTGATTAAATAAATATATTCTGACAGTGCCCAAAGACTTAAAGTGGGTTGCCTGAAAAAGAAGACAGAAAGAATTAAGCTAAGGCTCTCTTTCACACAGGAAATACTATATATTGGATTGAATCAAAACCTATAAAGTTTCTCCTCTTTCTCTTCCTGAAAAATTGTTAATCCATGAAGAATCAATTGTTCATTGACTGCTGAGACAGACTTCCATTTGGGAAAGAAAACAAGTAAAGAAACCAAATCCTGAGTGGAAAAATTAGTGCTCCAATTTCATAGGAATACTTGCTCCTGGCATGGAGCTGGCAGATACTCCCTCAGTTAGCACCTTGAGATCTGACAGCCAAGAACACCTCTCCTGGCATTTCCCTACTACCAAGCAGAATTCACTCACAGTAGAGAAACTAGCCCCTGTGTTTTCAGTTAGGTTAGCACTTATTACAGGGTCCTCTCTGTTTTCCCAATGAACAATGTCATGTATTTATCTTTATAGCTACCTATTTGTATAATAATGTACGTACATTTGTACTCTTCCTATAATGTCAAACTAATGCTTGTCTGGATTTAGCTCTGCATTTTAATTTAATATGAAATTACATATAATTACTTTCTGTAATAAATTTTAATTTGGACTACTGATGAAGATGAAGGCCTCTGGCAAGATCTGGCTCTTAAAACTGGCCTGAGCACCTTTCATAAGCTATCTTGTGAGTTAGCATAGCCGTGCCTACTTGCAAACAGAATTCATATTACTTACACAGCTTTTTGATCGCTGTTTCAAAGCCTTTGTCTTTGAAACCAAGTTGCAATTTCATCAGTAAACCCAGGGTGGGTTTCTTCTTGTGCTTTATGTCCTCCTCTTCATTCAAGGATTTTGAATCTTCTTGTTACATACAAGGCAAAAACTTTGGTGAAACAGTATCTCCTGGCTTAATAGGTATAGACATTCTTTCCTTCTATCTATCTGGTTTTATCTATCTAGCTGATCTAACAGCATTAACCGTATGTAAGAGATTTTAAAATTTTTATTTTCTGCAGTTGATAAAATAAATAATACAGGATAATATAGTACATGATAAAAAGAATTAATAAATAAAAACTAAAGTCTCTTCTTTCTCCGATTAATTTAAAAATTCCCATTGCCTGGGTCTGTATCTACAGTGTGAATATGAAAGTCACCTGTCAGGTCTTCACATTATTGACAAAGAAAGTCAAAGTAGTAAACATGCTGCTACAATCTCTAACTGATCATCGGACAATTTAGGCTATCCAGAAATAATGGGATTGATTGGGTTATCAGTAATTTTTGATTTAAGAAACTGAGATTCTTCTTATGTACCAAAGTGATAGGCATTGCATAAAAATACAGAGAGACATACATATTCATTTAAAAAGGGATTGATCGAGAGTTTCAATTGCATATCTTCAATTGTCATTGAAATCTGTGACAAAACTTACCTTGCTGACATTGGGTATTATTTCCTCCTTCTTCTATTATTCTTTAAAAAATTAGATATTCTGACAGGGAGGATACTCACCAATGTTTTCCTTCCTGTATGTTCAGATTCAACGATAATTTAAACTCTTAAACTATTCAGTGATAGAAGTATCATACTAAAAAAACCCCATCACCACCTTTTTGCTGCTTCTGTTGACAGAAGTCAACAGAGTAATCAAAAGCCCTAAACACTGCCATCTCACTTTGGTACATGCTTAAAAACTACCAAGGGAGGGGGAATTGTCTGCAGTACCCAGTACTGTTTAGCAGTACACCGATTTCTTTGCAGTCTGCCTTTTCAAGGGCTAAAAACACACAGCAGTCGCATTTCACAGGGATTCGTTTTCTCAAATAGTTGTCTTTACGCCCTTGTAGCTCTCTTTGGCAAAGAAATGTCTTAAGTCTCTTAATTTTCCTCCTCTTGAGGAGCCTACTGTGGCCTTGATCTCAGGTTGCTGCAGCTTGGGAGAGCCCAGCCCCCTCCGGCAACCCCTGTCAGGGAGCGTGAAGCTGCGGGTCGCTGCCCACTCCGCAAACACCCACGGCTGCCCACGGAGAGTCACCCACCCCGGCAGCCATTGAACGCCCCCCCGCCTGGGCAGGCTGGGTTTGCTGTGGGAGTGCCGGCTCCCAGCCAGGCACCCTCTCCTCCTTCTTTAATCCTTACGGAAAGAGGCAGATTTCTCCTTTCATCCCCTGTACGTTGCTCCGTGGGACACCACTCTGACCGGTGCTTCCTCACCACAAACTCGACCTCAAACTTGGAGCTGACGAACAAAGCTCTTACCTCCTCTGCTGGCAATGGCTGTTCCTACAGGCTGCCCCTCAGGGGCGGGAGAGCGGGGCTAGCGACGCTAACACGCCGCGTTCACCGTGGGTTTGAACACTTGCTTAAACCACTCCTTCCCCGGCGAGGCCGTCTGCCTTCCCCTCACCGGCGGAGAGGACCGCCACGGTTCCCGAGGGGCTGTGGGCCCTCAGGGAGCGCTTCCCCGCCGGCGGTGAGGGCCCGGCCCGCCGAGGCCCCCGCCCGCTGCCGGCCCCCCCGCCCCCGGGGAGCTCTCGCCCCGTCTCCCGCTGCCGCCCTGCCCGGCCGGTCGCGCTCCCCGTGCGGGCAGGGCGGCGGGCCCGCCGCGCTGAGCCGCCTGAGGCGGGCCCCGGCCCCCGGGAGCCCCCGGTTGCGACCCGGCTGGCGGGAAGCTCGCCTGTCATGCACTGACATGAATTTCAGCCTGTGAAAATGCCCGTCTGTCAGACTGGGGCGGGGGGCAATAAGGGTCGTGGAAAGATAAATTAATCCAGAAACGTAAAATGGATGTTGTTTCACCGTTCAGGCGTTGGGAGAGCTTTCTGAGGTTGTCAAGAAAGCTGTTACGATTTTTGAAGGAAGTACTATGATAAACAAGGGTGAGTGGGGCAACGCTGGGATTTTTCAGTA